GAGTAATCTCCAGTGACTTGGCAGCTGCTTGCCAGCGTTTTGGATGTTTTGATTGCAAGTGGCTGCAATTGCAAAACCAAAAACCAACATGTAACATGTACGTCATTTGCTCGTTCTCTGTTTGAAAAGCCGTTTCAGGCTTTTCAGCAGCGAACACGGAGTTTTGCTGTGTCGCATTGAGCACTTAAGACAAAGAGAATCAACTGGCAGGTGTCAGTGTTTTTAATCTGACTGGACAAAGAGCAGCTTGATGCGAAAACCAAACTTTTCGCGGCGGCCGCGCAACTCAACTGAGGGGCTTTTAAAGAATCTAATCCTGAACGATCGCGAGCGAGGTGCTAATCTAACTTGACAAAGTGAAGGCAAGTGTGCGAACAGACTCATCAAGAGATGATGCTTGACGGAGAGAAGGTTGAGAGACTTGTCCAGCTGGCTGAACGCCAGCATTGGGATATCTCGTTGAGGAAAACTATTTGTTGAATGAAGTTGCTGTGACATTTATGCTTACATCTTGAAACAGGACGTATTGGTCTTGCATGGTCTTCCCCATTCGTCGACCCGGTAAGGGCAAACCATACAATACATATTGCCCTCACATCTTACAGGTAGTTGTTCAACGCGAGGTTGATAACCCCTTATCTCAAGTCTTCATGCAGAAATCTTATGGTGTTGGCATTGGCCTTAGAGAACATGTCTAAGAAAGAACAAGTGCCTTACTTGTAGTAACAAGAACCTACTAGGAACAAGTGCATCGCTACTAGTAACAAGTGCCTTACTAGTAGTAACAAGGACGCTAGTAGGAGCAAAGACACATGCAAAACAGCGATATGAAAGACACATGCCTCGTGAATCCGTGAACAACTCGATATCGCCTTCCCTTTGATTCGAATAGCCCTGTTTGTGCATGCCTAGCAATGCTCCCGTTTTCATTGTTAAGGCACTCAGGACTCTTGCAAACTACAAGACCAGGTCCAGTTAGAGATGCCATTTTGAGCCACAGTTCATCTCTCTCTATATATATATATATTATATGTAGCATCATCTCTCTCTCTCTCTCTCTTGTACATTTGTGTAAGTTGGTGTTACGTGGATAGTCCACCACTTTCTACCGCGACCACACCGACTGAACGTGAGCCTGAGAGGGGAACAAATCTATATATGCATAGTTTTTCAGACCACGATCGTGTTTCATACCAAAACCGTAGATGAAAAGGTGGGAGGCTTCTAGGTTAGAGGCCATCGCTTGTAGGTTGGAGGTCATTACTACTGTACCAGTAGCCAGAAGAAGCCTTTGTGACTTGTTCAGTTGTCCGAATGGGACCTGCAGGGGCGCCCCAACGCTCTCCCCCGAGCGGAGTCTCAGGCCATGGTGGGTTTTTTCTTCATGGTGCTCACCAACGCCTCCACTGGCTTGGGGACCCAAGGACGGTTTTGGGTTCGCCGAATGGCGTCATCGGATTGCGAAGCGGACGAGAGATGCTTCAAGCCATTTTTGCCCGTCAACATGCTGATCATGTTGGGGTGGTTGCAGCATGTTGAAGATACGCTCCGAAGGATCAACATGAAAGTGAACAAACCATCCTGGAAGCCACCCGTCCAAGGATGCCGAACCTGGATTTCTCAGGTTCTTGCTTCATTTATAGTTATAGATCGATGGGATTAACTCTACTAGTGACTAGTAGGGATGGCAAGACATCATGCGTCTACCATTTTGAATCCATTATATATATAGGGTGGAAACATCATGTCACAATGGCTAGTGGCTAACTGTTGACTCAGGTTCAGGGGGTTGCTTGCGACCAATCCAGGCGCGCTCTGGAATTCCAGCAAGGAGCCTTCCTTTGGACAATCGCTCAACAAAGCAAAGAAGCACTTCTTCGGCACATCGTGGTCTTGCACCTGGCAAGACCGGCTGCCTCACCAATCAAGTAACCTCAAGGCTTAGGCATGTCAAATCACAAACAAACAGGCCTAGCTTGTCAACTCAACCCAACCGCCCTGCTTTTGCAGAGGGCTCAGCTTGCCATACTCAGAATGTTCGGAGGTGAGCTGGAGCAAGCAGTTGTGAGCATGCGACCGGAAGGCACATGAGGCTTCCACCTAAGAAGCTACTAGTAGCAAAGGCTTCTAGGTTGGAGGCCATCGCTAATAGGTTGGAGGCTAGCTAGAAGCTACTAGATTGGAGGCAATTGCTAGTAGGTTGGCGGCCATTACTACTAGTAGCATTCTTGCTACTAGCAACAAACTTGATTCAAGCTGACAAATATCCTGCTCATACTCAGATGGAAGTGGACAACGTGTCACCAACAGCAGCTTCGATACATGACACATGTTGCGGCAGGAATTAGTGGAGGTAGCCACTGGCCACGCTTCATAAATCTTCAAAAGAACTTTAGGAACCTCTTTGTAGCGGGTGAAATCATTTACTTGATTGCTATAATCCAGTGGCCTGCTGCTGCTGCTGCTGTTGCTGCTGCTGCTGCTGCTGGTGTCTTTGGTTGACACTCCGGTGATGGAACTCTGACCATTCCTACCCTACTATTGCCTTTGGATTGTGTGCGATACCAAGCTGGGTTGCTCCCAGCTCGTGCCGATCACACTTGGCCACTATCGTCATCAAGATGCCCCGTTTTGTAGATTGATGTGCTTGGTGACACGTTGCTTTCGCGTGTGTGGTTGCAACAAGTGGAACAGAGTTCAAGATCTGTCCTTCTACCCCTTTCCATGGTCGCATGTAGCGAGCGACCGAGCCGGGAGTTCCCCCGGTTCCTCTTGCGTCTACTATGCGGATTGCCCTCAGGATCGGTGTCAAGCACTTGGAACATCTGAAATGACCCCACTGGCACCCTGTGTTTTTTTTGCTGCAGGAGGTGGCTGAGACACCTGGAGAATTCAAGGGTATCAAGCCTGGTAGTTGATCATTAGTATTATCAGTGGTCACGTTGGACTTTGTGGGACGCTGCCCCAAAATCGATCGCGGGGAACATTACTTTCACGCGACGATTTCAGCAGCGACTGGACATCAGCGCCCGTCGCGTTGTTGGAAACAGCCTGAGGCCAGGGTCCATCGCTGTTGCCGACCTACACGCAGGAGGAGTTCCAGTCCACGGTGCGATGGGAACCGCACTGGGTGTTTGGCACGGTGCACGGTGTGGCACCAGTCTGACCGCAGAAATGAAGAGGTTCTTGGTCCTCTAGCTGGGCCTGCCTGGTGATTTTGCTTTGAAAAGATGGTTGCGCTTACTCAGGTACAGCAACAGGAGTAGATTTACACAACCCTTGGCTGCAAGATGCTGCAAGCCTTGGCCATAGTTGTTCGATGAATGAACGTTGGGTGGGTTTTGATGAGGTTTGGGCCAGTTTGGGCGTTTTGACTCTCGATGCCAAAAGTTGCAACACAACCAATACTCAAAAAAAACAGAAACATACATTCGACTAGTTTTTCTATTCTTGAAGGTTAATACTTATGTATAACTATTATATTTGGTTCTAATTACATACTCTGCAGGTTCTTCACAAAATCTCCAGAGGTGTACTTCAGGTGTGCCAAGACCTAGAAATCATTGAGGGGTTGCTCACCTGAAGGGAAAGCCCACAAAACGTTGAAGAACTATAGGGAGCTTGAGGGAAGCTTCCCGCATGGGCAAAACCAGTCCTCCCAACTGTTCAGAACTCCAGAACCCACCAATCACGGGTACGGGCCACCGGTCCAAGACCGGCGACCAGGTGGGCGACTTCATCCCCAAGGGTCTCTAGGGGCAGAACCACCTGCCCAAACGTCTCTCGGCCAAAACTCGACGGTGCAAGTGCAAGCACAAGGCGTCTTTTCAACAATTTGTTTGGGGTATTGTCAGGGTGGTTCGGAAGCAGGACGCGGAACAACTGGGGATGGCAGGTAGACACATGTTCATCCAGGATTTGTCATACTTGTCCTTGAAAATCCATTGTAGTCTTACGTCGAATTCTTTGGACATGTTTTTAGATGGCGAAACACCTTCACCGACTTGTCATAGTCCGTTGTGGTGTTCTTGTTTTCAGTTTCTTTTGGACTTCAATCGTGACAGCAGCTTTTGCCTATGTGTGACTATATGTGGCTTTTCTTGCTGGTGTCGCTGGTTGGGGGAACCACGTAGGAACATGTAGTACGCTGAAACAAGTCACACCCAGCAGACCGCACGTTTGAGTCTGATTTGGGGGTGGATCTTATGCCCAGATGCCCAAGAAGCTACTAGGGGTTCCTGGCATCGCTACTACGAGCAAGGATGCTACTAGGGGCTCCTGGCCTTACTACTAGGAGCATCCTTACTACTACTGTAGTAACAATTGAGACTTGAGACCCCTTGAAGTGGGACCTTTGCCCGGAAGAACGAGGTCGGCGCTTTGGCACTCTTCGCAACGAGGTCGGCTGCGCTGCAAAACCACGGTGGTCGGATTCAGAAAAAGACGCTTTGGGGTGCTGGGAAGAGGAGGGAGTAGAGGAATCATGGTCATGGCCCAAATCCTTGCGAGTTGTGTGTGTGTGTGTCACACACACAAGGTCATGGACTTCAAGCACATGGGGCGAACGCAGCTGTGGGCAATAGTCATGTTCATGTACTTCTTTGCCGGCAAAACAAGAGAATGAAGGTGTTTGACCAGAAAACCTTGAGATGAACAGTTGAGATGAACAGTCCATGGAATCTTCTTTCCGGAAGATAAAACATCTCTGACACTTGTAGCTCATTCCCTTCCGGTCCTGATGTCGAGTCTAGTTCGTCCCCTGAAAAGGCAGTTCCAACCAACTCAGCCAACGTTGCGGGGAGCAGCACTGTCACCAAAACTTGCCAAAGAACAAAAGAACCAAAAGGAAGACTGATGGTTCTTTGGCTAATTGATGGGACACAACTGCTCAAGACTCGAGAAACAAGCACTTTGGGAACTCGAGGTTAATGTTTGATGATATGGATATTTGATGTATCCTTCATGCATTCTGCATTTCGACCTTCAACTTCGCCATTTGCAGCTCGAACAGGGCTCTTTTTTGCACCGTCCGCCGCCTTGCCGTGCGCCTTCGTTTTCTTCTCAGCCTCGGTCTCAGAGGTGAGCGCCTTCGTTCACTGAATCGGCCATCTGATCCATCAGACACTCCAGACTAGCTTCTTGTTACTACTAGTAAGGCACTTGTTACTAGTAGCGATGCACTTTTTCCTAGTAGCTTCTTGTTTCTACTAGCTAGCATATTCACATGATAATTCTGATACATCACCGGGTGGGAGCGAAAAGGTGCTGGGTCTTTTTCGGATGTGGACAGCTTTGGTCCGAGATGGGACCTTCATGAAACTTCTACATGTGTGTCGATCTGTGTGGGTTTGAGCAGGGAGACACGCTGCCCGAATGGGCAGAGCTGTATTTTCCGAACACTTGAGGGGAGTCGGAAACGCCTGGGATGTCTCCCTATGTCAATAAGCAGCCACATCCCGTGGCCAGCCTTTGCCGAGCCCGGTTCGCCTGAGGTCTAGAGTCTAGAGGAATTGGATTGAGTGTGCTGGTCCTGGCCGGCAAACACCTCAGTTGCACAATCCCTATAGGTGCTAATCCCTTCAAGGGCCGGGGGCTAGGAAGCCCTAGTAGCGTCCTTGCTCCTAGTAATGCCAGGAGCCCCTAGTAGCTTCTTGTTACTAGTAGCGATGCCAGGAGCCCCTAGTAGCGTCCTTGCTCCTAGTAGTAAGGCCAGGAGCCCCTAGTAGCTTCTTGTTCCTAGTAATGCCAGGAGCTACTAGTAGCGTCCTTGCTACTGGTAGAAATGCTTCGATTTGAACAAGCATCCGAAAATGGCTTGGGATCTAGGAGCCGGATGGAGCTGGCAGGTATGACGAACTTGGATGACACATTGTGCAACAAGAACCATTGACATCCATTGACCAGATCTCTTGAAAACAATTAGAAATCTCGATAATCAGTTACATTATACGTATATATATATAATGTTATAACTATATTTCCTCAAAATGTAAATTGGCTTTTGGTTTTGCCTTGGTTTTTCCTCCACATCCCTGGCCAAGCCGCTCATGCCGTGTCCAGGTCATGCCCGCCATGTCCAAGATCGCCGTCTGTGGCGGCGCCCTCATGGCCGCCAGCGCCTTCGTCACCCCGGCGGGCCCCAGGTGGGCTGGGGAACCGGTGAAGATCGACGGGTCAACCGACGCACAATGGTTTTGATGAATTCATACTGTACAGATTTGTACCTTGTCATATCTTAGATAGAGTAGGTGTTGGAGACTATTGGTGCTGCAGCAGGGTTGCATGTCAAGCTCACGTCATGCTCGGCATTTGAAGCTACCCTGAGTCGGCTGACGAGTGGCGTCCAGCTGAACAACTGCACGAGGACCGCGAGGATGCAGAGCAGCCTGCGCGGAACGAACGTGGAGCAGGGAAAGGCCAAGTCAGGCCAGGCATGGCGAAGCATCGGGCGAGGCTTGGTGAGGTGTCTGGATCTGGAGAAGATGAACCACTGCATGAGATGTGGTTTTGAAGTACCTGGTTACTGTGTCTTTTGGAACTAGGGAGGCCATCTCCTCCTTCCCATCAACGGTCAGACTTGCTCACTATTGCCGGTAGAGTTCCCGGTTCACCATCCTGTGTCATCGTCATCCAGGAATCCACAATATATTCGTTGGAATGTCATGTCCCCTTTTGCCCGCGAGCCTTGTATTTGTGGAGGGGGTATCTCCAAAGACTGTGGAGGAAGTCCCTCGAGTCATCGGTTCTGCAGTGTTCAGGCAAAGCACCAACAGGTGGTATCAGGATGTATCCTGGTATTCCATTGAAGAAGTGCCATGCTCTGGAGAAGTGCTACCAGGCTTTTGAGGTACACAGTTAGAGCAGTTAGGGGTCCTGGGGAGTGAAGTTCGATTCGGAAGGAACGCCACGGAACGCCGCAATGGTGTTGGTACGCCATAGCAACTGGTGGTTCGACGCTTTGTTGGAGCCAAACCCAAGCATCAGCATAAAATGAAGGATGGTCCAACTCAACCAGTTTTGATGTAGGAAGGACCTCAAGGGATGGATTACACTACATACATACTGATATGGTCTGACATGTATGCTGTATGACCCCAGGTCAAACACCCGGATGTTGGAAAATATGCCAGTCCATGCCAGTCTCATTAGTCGTGTTTGGGATTGGTTGCCTGTAATTCTGTATATGTATGTGTACTGTACTGTATACCGTAATGTACTGTAATGTAATGTCATGTATTCACATTCCGCATAGGGAGTGTCTGGCAATCAGAAGAAAGAACACCTGCCCACCTGCCGTCACCCTCGGAGGCACCTCCCTGAGCGGTGCCTTGGCCAGCATGGCTGGCTTGGCTGCAGTGGCCAATCGCCCAGCCAGGCTGGGCGGCCACAGTCGTGGCACCTCCCTCCACCAAACAACATCCCGAACATAGAGGAATCGGCTCAGCCATGACAGGGTGCCCAGATTTTGACCTATACAGCCATTTCACTTCTGGGGATGGGATGGGATCACAACGATGCCATTTTGCAGACACCAACTATTGGAACATCTGAGAAACATGCTCCCAAACATGGGTCATTGCGGTGAAACCTCAAGCCTGACCAAGAAGCTGGTATTGGTGATCCAAACTATATCTTGTGAAGATTTGCGGTTGTTTGCTTTGGCTATTCTGTTCATTCACAATAGGATCCTGTTTATAGAAACCTATTTTTCAGGGAACTGACATGATAATCAGCTCTACCCATCCCTCGCACGTATCTGCGCTCACCCCAAAGAACCCCCACTTCAGCCAATCACACTTCAGGGGTTTGGAGTTGTCAGACCCAGTTTTGACTGCTTTTGGTCTTCAAGGCCGCAAAACGACACACGTTTCACTTCACCCTAAGGAGTCCTAAAGAACCCACTCAAAGATCCTTGAAGGGGTCACTTGCGGAAAGCAGGGTCACTTGGGTCTTTCTAAGGCTTCAGGTTTTGAGGGGAAAGTTGGCAAATCATCTGGAATTGCAAGCACCCTACACTTCCTTTTGTGTTTCGGTGCACGTCTGGGAAGCTGGAATCCAGCCACCACCGCGCTCGCCAGGACCCCCCAGACAGTTCTTTGCGCCTATGATGCATCCAACGCCTGAGTCCCAGCCAGTGAGGAAGAGAAAAGCTGGGATCCGAGTAGTGGACAAAACCTATGGTCATAGGAACCGATTGGCAATGGTCCATGGTCATGGCCTTCCTTTGCGGGTGAGTTTACAGGCTTTCTTCGGACCAGGGCACCAAGGGATGACGGCACTGGGGGCAAGGCTTACCCCAAAAGATTGGCTTGTTTCACCTCTTACAGATGGCACAGACTGGCACAACCTCGAACTGGCAAAACCTAGCTCGTTTCCTGTAGATAAACAGGTTATTCATTGCACCATAGTATGATAATGTCCATGTATGATAGTGTCCATGCCATTCATCACACCCGCTCCACAGGTCTCGTCAAAGCCGTGTTTGGCACAGACTCGTCGGTCTGTCCACACAGACTCGCTGGTCGGTGCATTCGATCGAAGGCTGAAACCGAAGGCTGCACCAAGTCTAAGTTTGTGCAAAGTGACCAAGTCTAGAGGGAAGTACTGGGTGTTCTATTTATGCACAAAACGAGTGCTTGAATCTACCTGCTAAAGGCAGACCACATTTTTTAGCCTTTGTGCAGCTCGCTATCTCAGCTTTGCTGAAGACTAACATAGACCTTGAAACATACACCAAGTTTCCCACGACAAGTTGTCTTTTGGACAATGTTGTCCATGAGATTGGTTGCGTTTGCATTCATGTCCAGTTCGGTGTTAGTTATGGGATGTAGTGTACCTTTATTTTGTCAGGATACTCAACAACCATCATAATATATATATATATAATATTATGTATGTATACGCACACATGCATATATATATATACACATGCATACTTATATTATAAATATATATATAGCTGCTATATATATATGTTTCATACTTTAGTGGTTTGGAAGCAGAGCAAAGTAGGTGAACTCCAATTTTGCGTGTTTGGCGCTGAGGAGATCGGTGCCTGCGATCCTTTGCTCTTCTGGGATCCCATTGGTGGGATCCGAAGTGGAGCGGGATGGAGCTGGACTGGACTAGCAGGGTATACAGCTGGACTAGTAGCCAAAAAATACGACTTGTGGACACTCTCCCGAAACGTTCAAGCCCTTCCATGCTGTTGTGGGGTACTGAAGGTTGTAAGTGAACCTGCAGTAGAAGAAAATGCACCAAAAGCGGATGCCAAAAAGGATCCAAAACCTGCTCCAGGCCACATCGGGCCCCTGACTAACCTCTTGGCACCGAGAAAGCGTGGAGGTAGCTGGCCGGGTCGGGGGGGAACCTTCTACTAGTAACAAGGGCATTGCTATAGTAACAAAGGGCATTACCACTAGTAACAAGAAGCTACTAGGAACAAAGGGTATCGCCACTAGAGCAAGGACGCCACTAGTAGCTCCTGGAGGCAGGCTGTATTTTCCCATATGTGTCCTTTGGGATCGAGAGCGGCAACTTGTCAAATATAGTGTTCTAGCTGGACTAGACCCTCCAATGTCCTCATAAAGTTTGGACATGACGCAACAAACAAGGTGTTTGCACTTTAAGGCCTTTAATATCTATAGCTAATTAATAGCTAATTATTGATAATTTTCCCAATGCGTTTGGTAGCCCGTCTTTCATGAGCAGCTTCTAAATACCGCCACAGCCGCCACATCGGTATTTTTGGATCCGAGAGGACACACAATTCAGATTGGGCACTGAAACAGTGTGGGTCATCGGAAGCTTTTGCAGCTAGAGCTGAGACTTTGTGAGTTTCTGGATGACTTGAATGGGGGTTCTCCCAAGAACCTGTAGTCTTACGAAGTTTTGCTCTTTTGCATGAGTCTTTGAATCCTGTTTGGCTTTGCTCGCACGGCAAAGATATGAGAGTGATCGAAAACAACGCTGCTGAGCTACGCATAGCTACGGAAGGTTGCCCACCCACCTTGATGTTGAACCCTTCAGCGATGAAGTCATGTGCGTCAGCAGTGCCCAATCCTCCGAGGTTACTGCGGGGGCGACTGCACCAAGCAGGACTGATATCATGTTAGTGTGTCACACGAGATTGTTGCCGATCCCGTCGCGGTGTC